CCGCAGCTCCGGCCTCCCGCCCTGGCCAGTCTGAGATCCGGGCCCGACGTAGGGGCCCCGAGCCCCGGTCGCGGGTAGAGAGGCTGGGGCCGGGCCGAGCGGTTTCCCGGAAGGACGGGCGCGGCGCTCTGGGCGGGCCCTGCAGGTCCGGTTCCAACCTGCCCCCTCGGCAGGGCGGGGGGCGTCCCCGGGCGGGCGCGGCGCTGAGGCGGGCGGCGTTAGCTGACGAGTGGAGAGGGCGGGGGAGGCTGCTGGCAGCAGGGCCTGGGTGAGGGCCAGGTGGCCGTCGATGGCCCATCGGGTGGGTCACCCTGCTGTCCGGGTGAGCGGTCACAGGGATGGCCACTCCAGGTCATCTGGAGACCCTTGTGCAGGAAGAGGCAGGAGGAGCCTTGCCCGTCACGTACCCCACCAGCCCCATGGCCATGCTCCGCCACCCGCCCATCATGCCAGCTTGTATCTGGACCATTGATCCTTGCCCGTCTGGGCAGGGTGCAGGTGGGCGGGGTCCTCCCACCAGTTTCCCACAGGGGGGCAGAGGCCAAGGTTGCCACCTCCCTGTGTGGGCAGAGGCAGCCTGGCCACTGGGTCTGTCCTGATCTAGCTCAGTGGACAGACAGCCAGCCCCTGGCCCCACCCTCACCCCCACTCCCACGCCCGGGGGTCTCCTGACATGAGGCCCCTCCAGGGAGGCTCCAGGAGGGCCTCCTTCCCTCTCAGATTTTCTTTGTTACGCTGGAAACCTGCTGGGGCTTCCTACCCTCGCCGTGAAAGCCACCAGCCTCTCCCTACCATGCCTGGCCCATTTATGCTGGTGGCCCCCTCTCTGGGACCCTGACCCTTTGGGCTTGCCTGGGTCTCTCACCTTGAAACTGTCCCGCCCCCCAGCCCCCAGCCCCCTCATCACTCCTGTGAGGAGCTTGCGCTGTTCTGGTCAGTCTCTCTCACAAGCCCCAGGCCCCCTGTCCAGCTGCCCTCCCCAGGTCCCTACCGCAGGAGCAAGGTGTGCCCTCTCCCACACCTCCTCATGGGCAGCGTGGTTAGGGACAGGCCCAGGCAGACTCATACCAGGCCCAAGGTCACCACCAAAGGAACAGGGAGTGGCACAGCTGACCACAGGCTGCATCTCGGCACACTGTCACACAGGCCCGCCCTGCTCCACATTGCCTGACCTCAAGTCCCCTCCGTCCCCGGCCTTTGCTGCCTGAATCTCTACTTTGTTCAGGGAATTCAAGCTGCTCACCAAGCTTACCTTGGCGCTCTCTGGTTTGCGTGTACAGACGCTGCCCTTCCCCGCAGCAGCGTGGCTTGCCTGCGTGGATTGCCCATATCCAGGTCAGGGGCCAGCCAAGGCCATGCCCACCTGGCTGCCTCTACCCCGCCTTGGCCCACAGCGCCCTGTCCTCCCCCTTTGCTGGGTAGTGAGCTGTGTCTCCTGTCCCCCCACCCTCATGCCCGGCCAGATGCCACGCACAGGTGCACAGTCCTCTCCCCAGCAGCCCTCTCACCCGGCACTCCTGCCACGGTCCTGGCTGGACAGCACATTGTCAAGCCTGGCCACCGCCCTCGGGCTCACAGACCCGTGAGAGGTCCTGGAATGAGGCACACACTTGGGTGGAGCCAAGGCCTGGGGTGGCTATTACTGGTGTGGGGCAGTAAGGTGACTGGGTTGGTTCTGAAAGCAGAGTCTGAGACAGGGGTCGTTAGGGAGAGGTTCAGGATGGTCCCATGAGGTCTGAGCAGCCCTGCATTCACCATGGTCACACTGTGCCCTGGAACATGACCTCCAGGACACCAACGGGCCCTCCTCCTGGGGAAGTGCATATGGTGAAGTTTCACAGGATGGACCTGGCCCCGCCAGTCACCGATGCCTCTTCCCCGTTATCTGTCCAGGTGCCTCAACCTGCTTCACGCTGCTGGCTCGGGGCTCACTGGGCATGGCCAGATCCTCTTCCCTGAGGGGCCCTCTCAGGCCAGGGTGGTTGTACTTTCTACTGTCAGGACCGGGCAGGGCAGACACCACGTGGCCACTGGGACCCACACACACCCCCTGCCCCACTGTGTAGTGGCCCCATCTCCTCCCAGTAGTCAGGTCTGCTCCCCTGCTGGGCAGGTGACTCCTCTTCTGGCATCTTTGTCCCTGGGTATGAGGAGGCAGAGTGCCCTGGGAGCAGCCGTCTGTAGTCTTTAGCTCAGTGGGACTTGCTGTGTCCCCCTGGCAGAAGTGTTCCTCCTCTGGGGACCAGGACATCTAAACCGACCCCAGAACTGTGGGGTGAGGAGCCCATGCTCCCAATGGGTCACTGGGGGGATGGAGGGTGGGCCACTCATCATCCACAGACCTGGAGCCATGTGGCCTAGCTCCTGGGACACAGCACTGTGGAGAGCCACGTTTTAGAGTAGTAGACCACCTCCTGGGGGATGGGACCCCAGCCTGCAAGGTGTCTCCTGGGAGCCGGCGCTTCAGCTGTGACTTCAGCAGGTCCTGACCCCCTGTCAGGCCAGCTGCTCTGGCTGGGGCAGACTGTGATGTGACTAGGGGCCCCTCGGACAGTTTCACTGGCGCCCTCTTGGCTTTCCCCACTGGACAGCTTTTACTCCAGAGCCAAGGAACTCCTGAGTATGTCTACTCCAAAGAGACATTAAGGGACCAGGGAAGTGGCCCTGTGGCCCCACTGGGAGCCGACGTAGGCCAGGCCCCTGGAGCTCTGGCAGGCCAACTCCATACCGGGCCTGGTGATGCTCAGCCTCTGGGGTCTGGTGTCATTGCAGTGTCTAGGAGTCCCTCTGCCAGTGCACGGTCACCAAACAAATGGTTGTGGCTTCCTGTAGGTAAGGTCTGGGGTGTCCTTCCTCCTGGGCCTGGCTGCTGCTTTCTCCAGGCTCCTAGGAGCCACCCTGGCAGCGTGTCTGCACATCTCCTGGCCCTTTCTGGTCTGTCTCAACTCCTGGGAGACCCGTTTGTCTGGCTTTACCCTCTCATCTTCGTTACATCTGTAAAGATCCTGTTTTCAAATAAGGTCAGTTTCACAGATACTGTTGGTTAGGACTTTGACATTTTCTGAGGGACACAATTCAACCCAGCACAGAAGGGGACAGGCCTAGGTGGAGGTGTCGAGCTGTGATAGAGGACAGGAGGCTGGACACCTGTTGCCTCTGCTCAGAGAACTGGACACACTACTGTCTGCTGAGAGAGGGGACAGCTATGTGGAACACTGGGGCTTGGAGCCACGTGACTGGGGTCAGGCAGGGAGAGACACCCTTGCCTGGCCTGTGCACAGCTCCCAGCACGACCAGAGCGCATCTGCTGAATCCGTGGCCCTCCAGCCCCTCGGGGCAGGCTGCGGGTGCAGAGGGACCATAGCCCAGAGGCCACGGTGGTCGGGAGTGGGCTAAGGGGGGACATGGGATAGAGGGCAGCAGAGGAGGACACAGGGCCAGGCTGAGGCAGGAAACTGGGGGGTGAAAGGGCAGGGGTCTCGCTGGAGACTGGGGGGGAGCTGTGCAGTGAGAGTGGGGCTTCAGGAGCCATCAGGAGGGACAGGGGCTAGAGCTCCCGGACTCAGAGACCCAGGCTTCCCTGGAATGGTGGGTCCAAGTGGGGGTGAAATGTTTGAGAGGCCCGTGGATTGGGGGAGGGGGAGAGTACATGGAGGCCACAAGAGCGAAAGGGAGGGTCGGTCCGGGAGATGCGGTGCTGGGCCCAGGGGAGCAGGGATGAGCCCTCAGGCAGTGCCAGGCAGAGGGATGCCCAGGAAGGGTGTGAGCACACAGGTCCCAGCTGCCCTGCACCGGGACCCTAGGGAGGGCACTGGGCTGGGACAGAGGCCAGAGGAAAGTCCTCAGGAGAAAAGGGCATCTGGGCTCACACCATCCCGTTTGCATCTTCCAAGCCCGCTGGGGTGCCCTTCATGCCCTCCGCAGGAGCCCCGCAGGGCTGGGTAGGGCCTGGCCCTGATGGGGATGCTCGTGCCCCGGGAGGGCAGGCTGCACCTGCGGCCTGTACTCCTCCACGTCTTTGAGCAGGTGCGGCCCCTCAGGAAGTGCTCCACCCTCCGTCTGGAGGCGGATCAAGGGACCAGCCAGCCAGGGAAGGACTGAGTCCTCCTCTCCTGACCACCTGGGCCACTTGGGGCCCCTGATTGAGCCTTTCTGTCCCCCACAGAACACGAGTGGACCTTCAGCGAGTTCTGCATGACCTGCTGTGTGTGATGAACAGCCACGTCTGTCCTCTTGACGTCCTGGTCACCAACGGTGCTGAGCAAGCCTGCACCCCCAAAACCATGAAAGCCATGCTCGGAGCCAGCACACCCTCCAGGCCTGAGGCCAAGGCCAGGAGCATTGCTGGGGTGTATGTGGAGGCCTCGGGCCAGACCCAGGGTTTCTACAGTGCCATGAAGCAGGGGCTCTTGCCTTCTGGGCTTGGGCTAGCTCTGCTGGAGGCCCAGGCAGCAACTGGGGGCCTGGTGGACCCTTCCCAGGGCCAACTGCTCCCCGTGTCTGAGGCCCTGAGGCAGGGCCTGGTGGGACTGGAACTGAGGGAGAAGCTGCTGGCTGCCGAGCGTGCAGTCACTGGCTACACTGATCCCTATGGAGGCGGGAAGCTGGCCCTCTTTCAGGCAATCGGGAAGGAGGTTGTGGACAGGGCCCTGGGGTGGAGCTGGCTGGAGGCCCAGCTGGCCACCGGGGGCCTGGTGGACCCCGCCCAGGGCGTGCGAGTGGCCCCCGAGGCAGCCTGCCAACAGGGCCTCCTGGACCAGGAGACATGGCACAGCCTGTTGGAGCTTGAGCCCGGCATGGGCACCCCGGGCTTCCTCGACCCCAACACGCTGGAGCGGCTGTCATACAGTGAGCTGCTGGGCAGGTGTGTGCAGGTCCCCGGCTCAGCGCTGGCCCTGCTGCCCCTGAAGACCACCTTCCACACCCTGAGTGGGGCAGTGAGTGCCACCGAGCTGCTGGAGGCAGGGGTCCTGGATGAGGAGACTGCCAGGGGCCTGCAGGAGGGCAGTCTGACGGTGGCAGAGGTGAGCGCACGCGCTGAGGTGCGGCGCTACCTGGAGGGTACTGGTGGCATGGCCGGGGTCGTTCTGCTGCCTGGAGGCCACAAGAAAAGTTTCTCCCAGGCCGTCACTGAGCACCTGCTCCCGTTGGGCGCCGTGCTCCCACTCCTGGAGGCTCAGGCCGCCACCCGCACCCTGGTGGACCTAGCCACAGGCAGGCGGCTGTGGGTGGACGAGGCAGTCAGGGCGGGCCTAGTTAGCCCAGAGCTCCACCAGCAGCTCCTGGTGGCAGAGCAGGCGGTGACAGGGTACCAGGACCCCTTCAGCAGCTCCCGCATCCCCCTCTTCCAGGCCATGCAGAAGGAGCTGGTGGACAGGCCACTGGCGCTGCGGCTCCTGGACGCCCAGCTGGCCACAGGCGGTCTGGTCTGCCCGGCCCGCAGGCTCCGGTTGCCCCTGGAGGCTGCTCTGTGCTTTGGCTGCCTGGACAAAGAGACACAGCAGTGTCTCTCACAGGTCACTGGCTTCTCTGACCCCAGCACACATGACAGCCTCCACTATGGGCAGCTGCTGTCCCGCTGTGTCACTGACCCAGAGACAGGGCTTGCCTTCGTGCCCCTGTCAGGGGGTCCCCATGCAGAGGAGCCCCAGGGGCCCCTATTCATTGAACACTATACTCAGCAGGCCTTGGGTATGACCATGACCACGGTCTCTATGGGGAAGTTCCAGGGCCGGCCTGTGTCCCTCTGGGAGCTGCTCTTCTCTGAGGAGGTCCCCATGGAGCAGAGGGTGGCGCTAACCCAGCGGCACCAGGAAGGGACCCTCTCGGTGGATGAGTTGGCCACTGAGCTAAAGGCTATCATTGAGCAGGCTGCAGCCACTGCCAGGGTCACCTTTGCGGGGCTGAGGGACACGGTTACACCAGGAGAACTACTGAATGCTGAGATCATTGACCGGGACCTGTACGAGCAGCTGGAGCAGGGGCAGACCACGGCCCAGGATGTGGGCAGCCTGGCCTCGGTGCGGAGGTACCTGCAGGGCACAGGCTGTATTGCCGGCCTGCTGCTGCCCGGCTCCCAGGAGCGGCTCAGCATCTATGAGGCCCGCAGGAAGGGGCTCCTCAGGCCTGGCACGGCCCTCATCCTCCTCGAGGCACAGGCAGCCACTGGCTTCATCATTGACCCAAAAGAAAACAAAAGGTACTCCGTGGAGGAGGCGCTGCGGGCCGGTGTCATTGGGCCTGACATGCATGGGAAGCTGCTGTCAGCCGAGCGCGCCGTCACCGGCTACACCGACCCCTACACCGGGGAGCAGATCTCCCTCTTCCAGGCCATGCAGAAAGACCTCATCGTCCGGGAGCATGGCATCCGCCTGCTGGAGGCCCAGATCGCCACCGGTGGCATCATCGACCCTGTGCACAGCCACCGCCTGCCCGTGGATGTGGCCTACCAGCGCGGCTACTTCGACCAGATGCTGAACTTGATCCTGTTGGACCCCAGCGACGACACCAAAGGCTTCTTTGACCCGAACACGCACGAGAACCTCACCTACCTGCAGCTGCTGGAGCGCTGCGTGCACGACCCCGAGACAGACCTGTACCTCCTGCCGCTCAGCAGCACACAGCCCCAGCTGGTGGACAGCACCACCCGGCAGGCCTTCCAGAACCTGCTGCTGTCCGTGAGGTATGGGCGGTTCCAGGGGCAGAGGGTTTCTGCATGGGAGCTGATCAACTCAGAATACTTGAGTGAAGACCGGCGGCGGCAGCTGCTGCGGAGCTACCGGCTACGCAAAGTCACACTGGAGCAGGTCTCGCAGCTGCTGGAGAAAGAGATGAGGAGGTGGGCGGATGTCACACTGCCTGCGCTGAGGGGCCGGGTCACAGCCTACCAGCTTCTAGAGGCCCACATCATCGACCAGGAGCTCCTGGACCGAGTACTGGCGGGGGTGGTCAGCCCCGAGGCCCTCCTCCACATGGACAGTGTCCGCAGGTACCTGCGTGGCTCAGGAGCAGTGGGCGGCGTGCTGCTACAGCCCTCGAACCAGTGGCTCAGCCTCTATCAGGCCATGAAGCAAAAGCTGCTGGTGCCCGGCGTGGCCCTGGCCCTGCTGGAGGCTCAGGCGGCCACGGGAGCCATTGTGGACCCCTGCAGTCTGGAGACCCTGTCGGTGGATGAGGCTGTGCGCAGGGGTGTGGTGGGGCCAGAGCTGTATGGCAGGTTGAAGTGGGCTGAGGACGCCGTCACTGGCTTCAGAGACCCCTTCTCTGGGAAGCGGGTGTCCCTGTTCCAAGCCATGAAAAAAGGCCTCATCCCTGCAGAGCAGGCCACCCGCCTCCTGGAGGCTCAGGTGGCCACGGGAGGGGTCATTGACCCCATGAGCCACCACCACCTCCCCATGCTGGTGGCCGCCCAGCGTGGCTGCATCGACCAGGAGATGGAGACAGCTTTGTCCAGCAACACCAAGACCTTCCCCACGCCAGATGGCCGGGGGCACACCAGCTATGCCCAGTTTCTGGAGCAGTGTCTCAGGGATGAGGCCTCTGGTCTTCACCTCCTGCCCCTGTCGGAAAGCACTCCTTCTGTCCCCACTGATGAGCAGGTACAAGAGACCCTGCAGGCCATGCCAGGGGCCAAGGATGGCACATCACTGTGGGACCTGCTTGGCTCCTGCCACTTCACTGAGGAGCAGCGGAGGGGCTTCCTGGAGGATGTCCGGGAGGGGAGGACCACCGTGCCTCAGCTGCAGGAGGTGGTGCAGAGGAGGGTGCAGGGGGCAGAGCTCCTGGCTCGGGCCCACATCACAGTGCCTGGCCCGCGGGGTGAAGTCCCTGCTGTCTGGCTGCTGGACATGGGCATCATCACCCACGAGACCCTGGCGGCGCTGGCTCAGGGCACACAGTTGCCCGCCAAGGTTGCTGAGGAGCCCACGGTGAAGGCCTGCCTATGGGGCACGGGCTGTGTGGCTGGCGTGCTGCTGCAGCCCTCAGGAGCCAAAGCCAGCATTGCCCAGGCCGTGAGGGACGGGCTGCTGCCTGCAGGCCTGGGCCAGAGGCTTCTGGAGGCCCAGGTGGCATCTGGCTCCCTTGTTGACCCTCTGACCGGCCAGAGACTGTCGGTGGAGGGCGCAGTCAGGGCTGGCCTGGTAGGCAGGGAGCTGAGCGAGCAGCTGAGGCAGGCAGAGAGGGCCGTGGCTGGGTGCACAGACCCCTACTCAGGGAGCTCCCTCTCACTGTGGCAGGCCATGGAGAAGGGGCTGGTGCCCCAGAGCGAAGGCTTCCCCCTCCTGCAGGTGCAGCTGGCCACGGGGGGTGTGGTGGAACCTGCCCATGGGCTGCACCTGCCCCAGGCAGTGGCCTGCAGGCTTGGGCTCCTGGACGAGCGGACAGGCCAGGCACTGACTGAGATACACGAGGACAACAAGTTCTTCTTTGACCCCAACTCACGGGACAAGGTGACATACCAGCAGCTCAAGGAGCTCTGTGTGCTGGATGCTGACACCGGCCTGTGGCTACTGCCTATTCCCCAGGACTCTGCACCAAAGGTGGATGACCACACCATGGTGGCACTCAGGGCCATGAAGGTGCCCGTCAGTATGGGGCGGTTTCAAGGGCACAGTGTGTCACTCTGGGACCTGCTACACTCCGAGTATGTCAGTGCCAACAAGCGGCGGGAGCTGGTTGCACTCTGTCAGTCAGGAAGGGCCACTGCCCTGCGGCAAGTGGTCACTGTGGTCACCGCCCTGGTGGAGGCTGCAGAGAGGCAGCCCCCGCAAGCCACCTTCAGAGGGCTTCGGAAGCAGGTGTCAGCCAGGGACTTGTTCAGGTCCCAGCTTATTGACAAGAAGACACTGGACGAGCTCAATCAGGGGAAGAGGACTGTGCAAGAGGTGACAGAGGTGGACAGCGTGAAGCGGGCCCTGGAAGGAGGCAACTTCATTGCTGGGGTCCTCATCCAGGACACCAAGGAGAGGATGAGTATCCCAGAGGCCCTGAAAAGGCACATGCTGCGGCCTGGCACCGCCCTGGTGCTGCTGGAGGCGCAGGCGGCCACTGGCTTCATCATCGATCCTGTAGAGAACCAGAAGATGACGGTGGAGCAGGCATTTGAGGCAGGCATGTTCGGCAAGGAAACCTACACGAAGCTGCTGTCGGCCGAGCGCGCCGTCACGGGCTACACCGACCCCTACACTGGGGAGCAGATCTCCCTCTTCCAGGCCATGCAGCGGGACCTCATCGTCCGGGACCACGGCATCCGCCTGCTGGAGGCCCAGATCGCCACCGGCGGCATCATCGACCCTGTGCACAGCCATCGCCTTCCTGTGGACGTGGCCTACCAGCGCGGCTACTTCGACGAGGACATGAACCGCGTGCTGGCGGACCCCAGCGACGACACCAAGGGCTTCTTTGACCCCAACACACACGAGAACCTCACCTACCTGCAGCTGCTGGAGCGCTGTGTGCGTGACCCAGAGACAGGCCTGTACATGCTACAAATTGTAAAGAAAGGAGAAACCTACCGGTACATTGACGAGGCCACAAGACAAGTGCTGAGGTCCAGAACTGTGAAACTGCACATGGGGAGGTTTGCCAATCGGACGGTCTCCCTGTGGGACCTGCTGTCCTCTGAGTACTTCACGCAGGAAAGGATGCAAGAACTCATCTGGGAGTTCAGAGCCCAGAACTTGGACCTGGAGAAGTTGTTGGAGAACATCACCATGACAATTGAAGACACAGAAAAGCGGAGCCAAGTCATTACGGTGCCGGCCATCAGGGGGAACGTGACAGCTGCAGAGTTATTCAACTCCGGAGTCATCGACAGAAAGACTCTCGATGCACTTCACAGGAGCCAGAGTGGCGGGAAGGACCTCAGCCAGCTGGAGCGTGTCAAGACCTACCTGGAAGGCAGCGGCTGCATCGCAGGGGTGACTGTGCCATCCACCCAGGAGGTCATGAGCTGCGCTGAGGCTGGCAGGAAGGGGCTCATACCTGCAGTGTTCATGGCTCAGCTTCTGGAGGCACAGGCGGCCACTGGGTTCCTGCTGGACCCCCACACACACCAGAGGCTCTCTGTGGAAGAGGCCTTGGCTGCTGGCCTGGTGGGCAAAGATTTACAGGAGAGCCTCCTGAATGCTGAGAAGGCCGCCAAGGGCTACACGGACCCAGCCACGGGAGACACGATTCCACTATTCCAGGCCATGAAAAAGAAGTTGATTGACAGGGAAGCAGCACTGAGACTGCTGGAGGTGCAGGTGGCCACAGGCGGGGTCATCGACCCACTTCACCACCACCGGCTCCCACTGGACACAGCCTACAAGCGAGGCTGTCTGCACGAGGACACATACATGCTCGTTGCTGATCAGAAGCACATGAAGAAAAGGTTTGTGGATCCCAACACACAAGAGAAGGTCACATACCATCAGCTATGGGACAGGTGCCAGCGGGAGGAGAAGACGGGCTGGGCCCTGTTCCCTGTGGTCAAGGACACAAAGGACTCCACGTACATTGATGAGGTGACCAAGAGGGCGCTGGAGGCAGAGCAGGTGGAAATAATGGTAGGAAGGTACCGAGGCCAGAAGCGATCAGTGTGGGAGCTGCTGAACTCGGAATATGTGACTGAGGAGAAGAAACTAGAATTGGTGAGGACATACAAAAGAGACACTGCCTCTGCACTGGAAAAGGTAGTAGAAGTTATTTTTAAAATGATTCAAGAGCAAGAAAAGACACGTAAACAATTATGGTTCAGAGGGATTAGAAGACAAATCACAGCGCCGGAGCTCCTGGGCTCAGCCGTTATCACAAGGGAAATGCTGGAGAAACTAGAGAGAGGCAGCTGCACAGTGCAGCACATAGAAGAAAATGAAGCTGTAAAAAGGTACCTGCAGGGAACCGGCTGTATCGCGGGTGTCCTGGTGCCCACCAAGGACGCTCCCAGCCACCAGGAGAAGATGAGCATCTACCAGGCCATGTGGAAGGGCCTGCTGCGGCCCGGCACGGCCCTGGTGCTGCTGGAGGCACAGGCGGCCACCGGCTTCATCATCGACCCCACAGGCAACCGCAGACTGTCCGTGGACGAGGCCGTGGCCGCGGGCGTGGTGGGCGGCGAGCTGCAGGAGAAGCTGCTGTCGGCCGAGCGCGCCGTCACGGGCTACACCGACCCCTACACTGGGGAGCAGATCTCCCTCTTCCAGGCCATGCAGCGGGACCTCATCGTCCGGGACCACGGCATCCGCCTGCTGGAGGCCCAGATCGCCACCGGCGGCGTCATCGACCCCGTGCACAGCCACCGCGTGCCCGTGGACGTGGCCTACCAGCGCGGCTACTTTGACGAGGAGATGAACCGCGTGCTGGCGGACCCCAGCGACGACACCAAGGGTTTCTTTGACCCCAACACACACGAGAACCTCACCTACCTGCAGCTGCTGCGCCGCTGCGTGCGTGACCCGGACTCCGGGCTCTACATGCTGCAGCTGGCGGGCAGGGACTCCGCCGTGCACCAGATGAGCCAGGAGCTGCGCGGCACCCTGCGTGACTTCCACGTGTCGCCCGGCTCGGGCGCCCTCCAGGGCCACAGTGTCTCCGTGTGGGAGCTCCTCTTCTACCGCGAGGTGTCCGAGAGTCTGCGCCAGGACCTGCTGCGCAGGTACCAGGCCGGCACGCTGAGTGTGCAGCAGATGGCTGCCACCCTCACCTCGCAGCTGGCCCGGGCCGAGGACGGGGACCCGCACCCTGACCCTCAGGGTGCCCTGCGTGCAGCCACCATGGAGGTCAGGGTGGGCCGCTTCCAGGGGCCCGCAGTGCCCGTGTGGGATGTGCTGGTGTCCAGCTACATAAGGGGGGACACCCGGGAGGAGCTGCTGGCCCAGTTTGGCTCAGGGACGCTGGCCCTGCCCGCCCTGACCCGCAGGCTCACCACCATCATCGAAGAGGCTGAGGAGGCCCACGGGGCCCAGCCCGGGCTCAGGGATGCCTCGCACGGCCAGCAGGAGCCAGGGCCACCCGGGCAAGGAGATGGAGGCTCGGGCCCCTCTGCAAGTGATGCCGAGGACCAGGCCAATGTCCGTGGGCAGGAGGAAGCCCTGCGTGCGGCCACCATGGAGGTGCACTCCGGCCAGTTCCAGGGGCAGCCGGTCTCCGTGTGGGACGTCCTCTTCTCCTCGTACCTGAGCAAGTCCCACCGGAATGAGCTCCTGGCTCGGCACGCAGCCGGCACCCTGGGCCTGCCCGACCTGGTCACCATCCTCACCCAGGTCATCGAGGAGACCGAGGAGCGGCTCAGGAAGGTGTCTTTCCGGGGCCTGCGGCGCCAGGTGTCCGCCTCTGAGCTGTGCACGTCGGGCATCCTGGGCCCCGAGACCCTGCGGGACCTGGCCCAGGGCACTAAGACCCTGCAGGAGGTGACGGAGATGGACTCGGTCAAGCGCTACCTGCAGGGGACCGGCTGTATCGCGGGCGTCCTGGTGCCCGGCAAAGACACGCCTGGCCACCAGGAGAAGATGAGCATCTACCAGGCCATGCGGAAGGGCCTGCTGCGGCCCGGCACGGCCATGGTGCTGCTGGAGGCGCAGGCGGCCACCGGCTTCGTCATCGAACCCGCAGGCAACCGCAGACTGTCCGTGGACGAGGCCGTGGCCGCGGGCGTGGTGGGCGGCGAGCTGCAGGAGAAGCTGCTGTCGGCCGAGCGCGCCGTCACGGGCTACACCGACCCCTACACTGGGGAGCAGATCTCCCTCTTCCAGGCCATGCAGCGGGACCTCATCGTCCGGGACCACGGCATCCGCCTGCTGGAGGCCCAGATCGCCACCGGCGGCGTCATCGACCCCGTGCACAGTCACCGCGTGCCCGTGGACGTGGCCTACCAGCGCGGCTACTTTGACGAGGAGATGAACCGCGTGCTGGCGGACCCCAGCGACGACACCAAGGGTTTCTTCGACCCCAACACGCACGAGAACCTCACCTACCTGCAGCTGCTGCAGAGGGCCACTCCTGATCCTGAGACCGGGCTGTTATTTCTCTCTGTCTCCAGGGGGTGAATGGGTGTTTTCACTCTGTTATTTTGTCAGCTTCTGCTGAGTGTGTGACTTCGCTGTCCTCATCTTCTCTTCCGCTCTGTAGCTGCACTGTTGTACAGAGCACTCATGGTTCGTATGTTGAATGTCGTGTTGCTGGTTTCTGTGGTCCTGCTTGTGGTGTTTCTCTTCCTTTCCCGAATGCACTTTTTTTCCTTTTTCCTGCTCTGGGTGTGCACTGTCGCTCCCTCATTTGTGACTTTTCAGTATTTTTTTACTCATGCATGTTTGCCTGTGAGCATTCCGGATTCACCCTCTACGTTTAGAATGATGTGAACTTTCTTTGGGGCCCTGGGGAAACATACCGCAGTGCCCATGTGACCTTGTTTTCCAGTTTATTCAATGTGTTTCTACCAATTGTGAAATGATTTTTATATTTGTTGTCGAGCTTATTTGCCAGCAGCCCATGGCTTCAGTTAAGTGCTCTGGTTCAGTTTGGGGGCTCTCCATCTCCTGCTGTGCTGGCCGTGACACTTGATCCCCTGGCTGCAGCCCACCTTACAGGTGCAGCCCCTGAGGGCTGGCTAACCAGCTTCATGCCCACCTCACAGTCGTGAGACTCAATCCGTCGATAGAGCAGGAAACGCTACCCAGTAAACTCACCACCGTTCCACATTGTGACTTCCCTCCCCCATCCAGCTGCGACTGTTAGCTTTTCAGAGTCCTCCAGGAGTAGCTTTTGTATTCTGCCCAGAGAGTTTCCCAGGAAAGATGGGCTGCAGTGGCCTTATTCCATTGGGCCAGTCCCAGGAGTCTCAGGAATTGCTATTCTGATTTTACAGGTGAAGAACGTGAATCCTGGGGAGGCGGACATGCGCAGGTCCCATGGCGGGTGGGAACTCATGAGCACCCAGCTCCAAACTGCATTGTCACTCACCCAGCTTGTGCCAGCCACAGAGACGCCACCGGCTGCACATAGTGCGCCAGGCCAAGCCATGCTGCATTGGGGGCGAAGCGTTTCTCATGACCCCAGTGAGGGGCAGCGACATGGCCGGGCAGTGCGTGCTCCCTGCCCACCTCCACGGCTTGTTTTGCAGTGGGGTCTGTGTTGCCTGCAGCCAGTCAGCGGCTGGGAAGCAGCCTGCGAGGCATCCGGGAGTGCCCACGGGAACATGCACAGGCGTCGGCTTCCTGCCATGAATCTGAGATGGGAGGTGTGGAGAGCCTGCCGGCAGGCCAGGAAAGCCACAGCCGCAAAAGAGAGCAGGGCCAGCGCGCGCCAGGAGCGGGTGCCTGCTCACCCCACCGGCAGGTGTCTCACCAGCTGGCACCGGCAGGGAAGCAAGGGCATCAGGCCTGCCCCTCAGGTGCTTTCTTCAGTCTCCACACTCTTTCCCCTCACTGTCCCAAGTTTAAACCGAGACAAATGTGGAGACGCCTGGGATCCCTTGACAAAGTTCCTCACCAATCTGTCGGTACCTGAGCTCAAAAACCAAAGGATGCTGTATAAAGGGGAGGATTACAGGCTCTAGGATTAAAGTCTTGCATTCAAATCTCAGTGCTACGCCTTCCTAAGTGCATACTGTGGCAAGTTACTTCCTGTCGCCGTGCCTCAGCCTGCTTTTCTGTAGAATGGGCACAATGACAGCAGCTAACTCATGCGTGGCTGTGAGTACAAATGAAATTATGCACAGCGAGCATCCTGGATGTATTTGAAATGTCCACAATGATGACAGAAAGGGAGTAGCAGGGTGTTGGTTTATGTCGTTTTAAACATTCACGTGGCTTTTCTCTATCTGAGTGTGAGATTTTCTCCCTAGTCAGCCCAAAGCATCCTTCTAGCTAAAAGAAAATTCGGATTGTTATAGAAAGAATTCTTTTTTAAAAAGCTAGTTAAGGGCCGGCCCGGTGGCGCACTCGGTAGAGCGCGGCGCTTGGGAGCGCGGTGGCACTCCCGCCAAGGGTTCGGATCCCATATAGAGACCGGTCCGCTCACTGGTTGAGCGTGGTGCGGGCGTGACACCGAGGGTTGCGATCCCGTTACCAGTCACGAAAAAAGACAAAAAGGAAAAAAAAAAGCTAGTTAATATTCACGTTTTTATGTTCAAAGCAGATTTCGCAGTGAGACGCTGGGTGCGAAGGGCAGCTCTGCCGGGGCTCTGGCTCCCTTTGGCTGCCGCAGCCAGCTGAGACTCTCCTCTGCCTCTCACTCACTCCTGTCCTGGGGGACAGCGACAAGAAGCAGAGATGGAAGAGCTCAGACTCCTGAGTTTGCTTGTCCATAACCCCACTCAAGGGCTGGTAGGGGGTTGTTTCAAAAATACCCTGGCAGGTAGGGGACATTGGGGGCGGGGCATGTGTGCATCCATAGCAGCGGCCTCACGTGGTTGAGAGAGCAGCTGTACTATCAGGCCAGGTGAGCCCCTCCAGGCTCCCAGGTAACGTGGAAGCTGAGATAGTAGGTCACCTGCCACAGGGCCTTCAGTGGGGCCAGGTGACCTCAGCAGACACAGGTAAATGATAGCCCCCAGCAGGGCAAAGACTCTGAGAGTCAGGAAGCACCTGAGCCACCCCCAGCCTGGGGGAACAGCCTCGAGTCACATCTACAACCAGCTTCAGCCCCAGTGGCCACTGGACACAACACTGCACTCTGGTCGAGAGGCAACTGGTGCTTCTGGGACTTTAGACCAATGGGGGCCACTGAAAGTGGGAAACTTAAAAGACCCTCCCACTTTAAGAAAGGTCCCGAGGAACCATGATGGCAGGGTAAACGATCCCCCCCGCACAGACTTGCAGACTGGGGCGGTCTGTAGAGCCTAAAGCCTTGAGTTTGGGCTAAGGCAGCTCCAGACCAGTGACACCCCAGACCTTGTTACGAGCAGACAAAACCCTCTGGAAGAAGACTCATCACGTGGTGCCTTCAGTTTATACCTATAAATGCTTCTCAGAATCATGTCCAGTACACAAAGAAACCAGAGCACACCAGGAGCAAAGACTCCAGGAGCAAGAATCCACGAAAACAGCAGAACGAGCAACAGAAACAATCCCACAAAGACCATAAGTGGTCCTGGCCACCATGTTCAACAAGTCAAGCCTGAGAATGTCACCAGACCACTGGAAACTATAAAAGGAGACAGATGGCAGCCGTTAGCTGGTTAGAGCAGAGAGTTGTAACACCAAGGTCAAGGGTTCAGATGCCCACACCAGCCAGCAGCCAAAAAATAAATAAAATAAAGAACTCAATGGGCAGGTTTAACTAGCAGCTCAGAACAGCAAGGGAGGAGGCGAGCCAGGAGACGGTGGCAGGCATGGGGAGAGTGTGGAGCAAAGAGACAAAGCTGGGAGGGCAGGAGAGAAGGTACAAGGCAAACTGGACAGTAGGACGGTCCTGCATACACCTCCAGGAGTCCTCAGAGGAGGAGAGACAGAGAATGGGGCAGACGAAACATCGGAAAGGATAATGGCTTAGAATTTTCCACCTCTGACCAGACATTAATGTCCAGATTCAAGAAGTCCCCAAATCCCTAGCCATGTCATAGTGAAACTGCAGCCATCCACAGGCCAAGAGAAGGTCTTAAGGGCAGCCAGAGAGGAAAGTCAGCTTGCCTGAGAGGAGCCAGAGGTGGGCTGACAGTTCACCTCCCCAAAGCGGCATCAGAGCAAGACCGGAGGAAGTTCCACGAGGAGCCCCACGGTCACAAGGCCATAAGAGCCCCTCCCGCACATTCAGATGTGGACTCTGGAAAGGCACGTGGTGGAAGACTACGCCGTTGAGGAAGCCTGGCCCTGCACCTGGAGGCCCTGTGCATCACCTTACAAGGCCTGCCTTTATCATTTCAAGGAACTGACCAAACCTAGCTTTTGTCCCTGGTGCTCCTTCAACCTGGGAGTTGGGACTGCCTGGCTTTCTCCCACCCCAGTGTTCCTGGCACCTAGGACACCAGTCCTGAGCCCCGAGAGCACCTGCCAGTAGGAAAGAAATGGGCAAGAATTCAGAAAGCAGGTCACCTGTATGCCCCACAGGAGGGAGAGGCTCAGAAAGCCCCAAGGGCACACGTGTGGAGCCGTGGCGGGTGGCCAAGGTGGGGAGGGAGGAGGTGGTGCATAGCACACCCACTGTTGGCACTGTGTGCTGCTGCTGGGGATGGGCTGTCCAGAGGGCTGGCGATAGCTCCTGAGAAAGGATGTCCCAAAGGATGTCTAACAATAAAGTGTGGCAGAATCTAGGTGGGGCCAGCCGTGGCTCACTCGGGAGAGTGTGGTGCTGATAACACCAAGGCCACGGGTTCGGATCCCATATAGGGATGGCCGGTTTGCTCACTGGGTGAGCGTGGTGCTGACAACACCAAGTCAAGGGTTAAGATCCCCTTACCAGTCATCTTAAAAAAAAAAAAAAAAAAAGAATCTAGGGATGGACAGGAACAGAGGCAGGGGTGGGAGGGTGGTGCTGATCCTGGAACACAGGCCAAGCAGGGTCAGAGAGGACACACCCTAGCCGCCCCCTCTGAGCTGGCGGGTCAGTTGGACCTACTCAGGTTGTGGGGACAAGTGGCTGAGAACCACAGGTGCAGCCTGGCCTGCATGTAAGCATTGTAATTGCTGTCACTGGAAGGCACAATTGGCACTTGTGTGAGTCTCAGAGCTGCTGTAATAAAGCACCATCAATGGGGTGGCTGTCTTAGTCCATGCTGTGTTGCTGTAACAGAATACCTGAGACTGGGTAATTTACAAAGAACAGAGGTTTATGTGGCTCATGATTCTGGGACAGCTGCATCTGGCACAGGCCTCAGGCTGCTTCTACTCGTGGCGGAAGGCGTCAGGCAGCCAGCGGGTACAAGCAGATCACATGGCGAGAGGACGCAAGGGCTGGGGGGCAGGGGGTAGATGCCAGGGGATTTT